CTGCCAGACCTGCTGAGCTTTTCCAGCAACTTTGTTTTTGTATTTGTTTATTTAGTTTGATTTGATTTATTATTATCACATGTACCGAGATACAGTGAAAAGTATTAGATATAACACAGTGTGAGCTGGATGAACACAGCAGGCCATGCAGCATCAGAGGAGCAGGAAAACTGACCATTTCGGGTCGGGACACTTCTTCAGAAATGAGCTTCAGAAAAGTGAAAAGTATTGCTTTGCATGCTAACCAGACAAATCATACTTTACATAAGTACACAAGGGTAATAGAACAGAATGCATAATAGTGTTACAGCTACAGAGGAGGTGCAGAGAAAGATCAACTTTAATATATGAGAGGTCTGTTCATAAGTCTGATAACAGCGGGGGAAAAGCTGTTCTTAAATCTCTGAGATAGCAAGAACTGCAGATGCTGCAGTCAGAGATAACACAGCGTGGAGCTGGAGGAATACAGCAGGCCAGGCAGCATCAGAGGAGCAGGAAAGTTGACGTTTTGGGTTTGGACCCTTCTTCAGAAATTTCGGAAGGGTCCCGACCTGAAACGTGAACTTTCCTGCTCCTCTGATGCTGCCTGGCCAGCTGTGTTCCTCCAGCTCCACACCTTGTTATCTCTATTCTTAAATCTGGTGTTTGGTGTTATTTTTATTAGGGTTGGTTAGCTTGGTTTGCAAAGCAGAGTGATGCCAACAGCATGAGTTCAATTTCTGCTGAGGTTACTCTCCTTCTCAACCTCTCCCTTCACCTGAAGTGCAGTGACTTTCAGGTTAAATCATGGCCAGTCTCCCTATAGTGAGAGGGCAGCCCTATGGTCCATCAGGACTATGACGACTTTACATTTTTACTACTTTTTGCCATTTACACTCCAGTGAGGGACTTTGGAATGTATTACTTGTTTAAAGGCACTAATTGTTGTCTGATCACCCCATCCCTGTTTTCAAATTATCACTCCCTTCACCCCATTCACCCAACTCTAAGTAACATGTATGAAAATGCCAGCCCAAGCCAAGCTGTCAGAGATCAGTAATTCATTACAGATACATTATAGGACCATGACCCATGTTCAAGTCCAGTACGTGGTGTCCTGGCACATGGGGTAATCTAAACACTCAATCAGCCCATGCAACAGAATAGTGAGACTGGGGACAAACTCGGTGATTACTTGACACCATGAATATCAGATTAGTTTCCACCTATTATGCTGCTGAGAGAATGCAGCACTGTCAGGCATGCTGTTTATTTCAGAATGGAATACACTCTGAGGCCCTATCTGTACATTCAGGTGAATGTAAAAGGCAATGTAGGAGAAGAAAGACCCTGGTCAAAACTGTGCCATTGCCATCCTCTCCCCACTGCCCTGCTGTCCACCCTCCCCCAATAAAGCTCTTTCAAAGAGTCAACACTAGAGTTCAATGGACTGAATGGCCTCATTCTACAGTGTACCATTGGCTGGATGGCTGGTTTAACAATGCAGAGTGATGTGAGCAGCATGCTTCTAATCTCCACATCAGCTGCATTTGCCATTAAGGACTCTCCTTCTCAACCTCACCCCTTGTCTGAGGCATGGTGACCCTCAGGTTAAACTACCACCAGTCATCTCTCTCTGCAATGAGAGAGCAGCCCTATGGTTTGGTAGGACTATAGCATCTTTGCCTTTAACTTCTAACAAACATTAGCAAAACGCTCCAGATTACTTATCCCTTTTGCTGTTTGTGGGCTCTTGCTGTGCAAACAATTACCCAACCAGTTACTAGATTTGGAAGTAATTCACAGTCAGTGAAGTATTTGGAGATGCCCATGGATTAATTGATTGGTCTATCAAAGAGATACAATCGACTGAATGGCCTCCTTCTGTGCTGGTATTATTCTGCAATTTTCTTAAGTCTGGCTGGCACACAGGTCAGTACCTCTGGCAAGGAAGCTAACTCTTGGTACCGCACTGTGATATCAACTGGTTTCCTAGGTGTGGCTCTTAAAAGTAGGCCAAACTGCATCAAACTAACAGACCATAATGAAACTTGGAGGGTATAGTAATTCATTTATCAGGGATAACAAAGCTATGAACTCCTCTTCATTAGTTACCGTTTGCATACACAAATTAGGTTAATTCGCCCATCTTACAGGAAGTAACCTTACTGAACTTGGACAAATATTATTATTATCCTAATTAGGCATGACGTGTTATTGGATTAGGCCAATTAATCTTAAATTATGTAAATTCAATAATGAAAAGTAGACTCTTCCCTCATGGTCGCAGCCTATAAATGTTACCCTTGCCAAATGTTCAACCAACATTGACCTGCAAAGAGGGATGAACAACTGAGAAGCAAAAAAACAATTCATTTCCTGACTTTCTCCACTTTGCCCCTGAAGCCATGAACAAAATTCAGCAGGTCCCTCCAAAAAGGGATGAATTCTCATAAAAGTAAGGGAGCACTAATAATGGAACAGCAAATAGTGTCTTTGTGAATAAAACACGTTCCAACAGATTTAAGAGAAGTTCCTTCCCTGTTGCTATCAGACTTATGAACAGACCTCTCATTTATTAGAGTTAATCTTTCTGTGCACCTTCTCTGTAGCTGTAAAACTACATCCTGCATTCTGTTCTATTACCCTGGTGTACTTATGTAAAGTATGATTTGCCCGGTTAGCACGCAAAACAATACTATTCACTGTATCTTGGGACAATAATAATTCAAATCAAGTTGAAATCTCCCAAGTGGTACTTCACAGAACATGAAGAAACAAAATCTGATACATGAGCCACAAAAGAGGATATTAGGTCAAACAACCAAAAGCCTGGTCAAAAAGATAGGTTTTAGGAGAATCCTAAAAAGTATCAATGAGAGGTAGAGAACCAAAAACCAGCAAGGAGGGTATTTCCAGACCCTAGATCCTTGGCAGTTGTGGTTCCTGTGGCCATTGGTGGAACAACTAAAATCGGGAGGTGTTCAAGAGACCAGCAGGTTCGGAGTGTAGAGGGTTATGACATTGGAGGAGATAGAGTGGTGGGACGAGGCCAGGGGGAGATTGAAAATGAGGATGAGAATTTTAAAATCAAAGCATCACTTGACCAGGAGCCAATGTAGGTCTGAGAGCACAGGGGTGACAGATGAACAGGTCTTGTTGCACATGTTAACTCATATTATCGACATAATATCATGCTTAGGAACCACTGACAGAGTAGCAATGGCAGAACACTCAAAAAACACCTTTCACTGGCTTCTTTAAGAAGAAAATGCATTTTATGAATCCTATAAGTGCCATGGTTAGATTTAAATTTATGCTGAATAAATCTTCCACTGTACTGACCTGTTATAATATGCTGGGTCTCTCATAGCACACTGACTTTTAGTGTTAAAGACTGTTGTATAATGTTAATAACATTTCTGTTCTATTGAGCAACACCCAGAGTTTGACATAATTGTTTTTTGGAACAGTCTTCACACAAATTACATTCATTCAGTACACACACCCATCTGATCTTGAAAACAGTCTTAAATGCTCCTGTACTTTTCCCCCACTTTCAGTAACTCATTCTTAACTTAAAAGAGGTAAATTTTCATCTCTAATGCAGAGTTGTGAACACAGCCAAGCCTGTCAAGCAGACCAGCCTTCCATCCATTGACTCTGTCTACACTTCTCACTGTTTCAATGACGCCTCCTGCTCCAGTTGTGATCTCTTCCAGTCTCTTCTGTCGGGCAGAAGATGCACAGGCTTGAACACACGTGCCAGCTGATTCAGGAACAGCTTCTTCCCTGCTGTTATTAAACTTCTGAATGGATCTCTCAAATTTCACATTTAATGTTGACCTCGCTCTTTGTGCAGCTTCTCTGCAGCCGTAACATTGTATTCCTCGCTCTGTTCTATTACCCTGATACACTTTGTATGGTATGATCTGCCTGCACTGCACACAAAACTAAACTTTTCACTGTACCCAGGTATGTGGGGCAATAATAAATCAAATTAAATCAAAATCAAACCAGGTAGATAAGTTGGAAGTGTGTGTTTCAGAGATTCTCAGAGGGAACTGACTGATGGGTTTTGACCAATGTTATCCTTCAGCTAACCAGTGAAAGACTTGAGAAATAACTACAGAAAGTGCTGGAGAAACTCAGCAGATCTGGCAGCATCTACTGTGAGAAAACAGAGTTAACACT